AGCTGCATTCGTCAAAAGTGGGAAAAATTTAAATCTGCATGGCACTTTACTCTAATTGGCTCATTCGCTTGCTTAAACTCAACATTGATTTTGATTCCGCAGAACTGGGTTAGGTGTGAAAAACAATTTGTTGTTAAAATTCTTTTTTCATTCGGTTTTTCCAGTTACGAGTCCTTTTTTAAAGCTGATCGTTTTGTGTTTATTTTGTTTAGTTCTTTTTTCGTAACAGATTTAATGTTTAGTATAGAGCTTAGAAAAAATTCACAGTTTCAGATAGGCAAGAAGTAAGGCATGTAGCAACATCAGCATGGCAAAGGGCACCCCTTTAAAGTCAAGGAAGGGCAAAATATTTTTTAAGTCAAGTGATAGTGATTGCTGTATGAGTCGTACGATTTTTTAATCAAGCCCGGGCAACGCCGGGCCATACTGCTAGTAATATAATATAATATAAAAGACTCAAAAACTAACGTTCCATGTTTATAATTTTTTATATTGGAATCGTAATCATGATCCAATTCATCAGATCTACAAATTCAAAATACTTTTTTGAATTTGTAGTTCTGATGAAAACCATAGAATATTAGTTTTTGAGCCTTTTATTACTCGTCTTGGACATTCAGTTCTATCCTCTTGGGAATTTTTATATTATATATATATATATATATATATATATATATATATATATATGCATGTTTCATTAAAACGATAGACAAGGTACTACGGTTAAGCTTTTATTTAATTTTATTGTTCTAACAAGAGCTTACTTTTCTGGACAAAGGGTGTAAGAACTGTCCAAATGTTTTATATTTCAAGCGCTTTCAGCTATACCTTTAGCCATTATCAAGGATGATTCGGTTTTTCAGCTTAATTGAGTGTCTGCATTCTATGCATGTCTTAGTGTGTAGTAGGAATGTTTTTTTAATTTCTGAATACGGTTAGCACATTGTAGCCTTGTTCGTAGTTAATATTGTTAAGAGTTGGCTTTTTCTTTTTTTTTATTATTAAAGCTTCTATTATTTTTAGACATTTTTTGCAGGGGGATGCAGTTAATATATTTGTGTTTTCTACTAGTATGTTTCTAATGGAGTCTGGTAATTGTGTGTGTATAAATATATATATATATATATATATATATATATATATATTGACCACTAATATTATCAATATATATATATATATATATATATATATATATATGGTGGACTTTCCATCGTATGAAGGTCGAACAACTCAGTTCTTAAGAACCGACACCAGTACTTGAGATTTGATTATAGTGGAGAAGGTTTTCTGCAGAACCAGCCACACTTTTTGAAGGGCTGAATACAGAGACCTTGTGCACTACGTACCACAAGGTCCCCAAACGACCTTCCGTATGTTTTTAATTCAGAGTTGTCCTTCTCCTAGACCATCTGCCACTCAAGGCTACAGAACCCAGTCTGCCCTGCTAATTAACCATAGTGGGGGGAGAATAGGATTACTAACTTTATTAGCTCGTAAGTGAATGTAATGTATTTGACTGGAATTCGAACTCGGCTCTTTTAGTCTGAGTCGCTACTCACTACTCCACCGTACATCCTATAATATATATATAGATTTATATGGGGAGGGGGGTGTCAAAATCTTTGAAACAAAATGATCGGAAGGATCATAAATAATAGAGTAATTACGTTTATTAAAAGATAAAAGATCAGCAACCATTTAGTCTCAAACATGAACCCAAACTCTCAAGAGCAGCTCTCAAGTATACCCTCCAGATGTCCGTCGTTCAGTTGAAGACACTGTTGAATGCAAAGTTGTTGATAACTCGTGTTCATTCAGCTTTGCGGCTAATGAGATTCTCCGCAAACTTTACAAGGAGCCATGCCATGGTAACATTAACGGTGTGAGGAGGAGCACCATCCTGATGGATCTATTGTCCCTCCACATCAAGGTCCTCACGCTCCTTGAGCTCTCAACATCTGAGAAGCAGCTGCTTTGTTCTAACAATACTGAAACACCCTATGGGATTGATACCTTAATTCAATTCAATTTTGATAATTATATTGAGGGTTTCGGCTCTCATTTTTGAAACATGAGAACTCTTATGTAGCGAAGGAATTCTAATATTTTTTTCAAAAAATAATAATTTAAGCTCTACTTCTGTATGGAGCACTTCTTTTTTAAAAATAAAAACAAAATTACTAAAGAACTCCAGATTATTTACCTAACGTGTTCTTTCCTGTTTTTCTACATACCACACACACACACACACACACACACACACACACACACATATATATATATATATATATATATATATATATACATATATATACACACACACACACACATATATATATATATATATATATATATATATATATATATAATTTCGTGTATTTTTGCAGTGTATTTATATTAAAACGTGTTTGAATAAACAATTTAGACATTTTGTGATTGTTTATTTTCAATAATATCTTTCGTAATCACGCAAAAGCTTTGTTGTTTCAGGATTACAGTGAGCAAGGAAAGTACCATATGTTTCTAAATTCCTAATTTTTGGCTTTATTATTTAAATACACCACACAAAATTTAGGTAAAGATCTTCAAGAAAGGATCAATGTCACTACTAAAATTCCGATATGTGTAATCTTCCTTCTACACAAAAATGTTGACACAATCTCCCCCAAAACAACAGACAAATTACATGTCTCCCCACTAATTACAAACTCGTGACATCTATTCTGGCAAAGCATATTATTCTTTCTTCGAAAAAAATAATATACTACCTCTTGAACCAAAAGAGTGAAAACGTGACTCTTATCGATGTAAAGGAAATTACTAATTAATAGGATGATCATGGGAAAATGCTTCACTACATATCTTACTTTTTGATTAATAAAATGTTCCCTATTTTAAGAATACTGTTTAGATGGTGCGTTACTGAAAATTTTGACACACACACACAAATAAATATATATATATATATATATATATATATATATATATATATATATATATATATATATATATATGTGTGTGTGTGAGAAAATATAATTTTAAGGTAGGCTATATTTATGGGTTAAATTAAACAATATCAGGAATAAAGCGTATGTAAATATAAAAGGAATTTCATATATATATATATATATATATATATATATATATATATATATATATATATATATATTTAAAAGTGGATATTGAAGACCCAGCGGCGACAGTCAGTTTCATGCTAAAACGCAGTCGTCAAGATTTTGACTTCTATTTTCACACACACACACACACACACACACACACACACACACACACACACACACACACACAGATAGATAGATAGATAGATAGATAGATAGATAGATAGATAGATAGATTGAGATATGTTTCGTTGAATAATTTACGCATGTCCTGTCTTCCAGGAGAAAATTTTGTAAGTTTCTTTCCACGTTTCCAATCAGCACCGTCTCATCTGCATATCTTATGTTGTTAAGATTGTAGACGCCAGTTATAAATTCTGGTAGGATTTCTAATTCTCTCAGAATCGCCACGCTCTATAGGTTGAATAAGACCGAAGAGAAGACACGTACCTTGTCTTACACACTTTTTTAGTAGATCTAAAACATATACTTGCGTATAGATATGCCTATTAGTAGATGTAAAACACATACCCTATATTTCCGCGTATAAAGCCACCTTTAGATAAGACGAATATATGGCAAATTTTCATGAATTTATCACATACCTGTAGTAAAAGACGACTGCTTATTGATTATATAATGATGTTATTGGAAATGTTGTTACTGTTTCCTTAGAAATTCAGAATAAACAAAATGACAAAACCTAGTCATATCATGTTTTTTTTTCTACACACGTCCCCTAAAAGGGAAACCATTGATTTGTTTATGTTTCATCACATGATCACTTGCGAATACTGATGATGATGATGATGATTCTTCTTCTTCTTCTTCTTCTTCTTCTTCTAAACAATTACAAACCCCCTGGTGCACTAATGTCCATTTACTTATACTTCATCGACAATCACGAAAGAACACTAATAACAGTACGATAATAGTAAATTCCTTTATTTGAAAAATAAAGGTTGTATGTAATCCTAAATTGTGCTTTATTTTAACACCAAAATGATAGTGAATTTTTGATGGAAAATAAATATTATGTTATCGTAAATGTTATTACTCTCGTAATTAATGCTTCCATGATGATTACTAAAAGTCTGACGAAAGATAAAAGGGTGCTGGGAACGGAATCATTAATTGAGGTTTACATTTTCTCAGCTGAACTTGCTTCGATACAAGATGATTTCATTGATATAGAATTTGTCTTTGGATATCCCATTTGTTAGGAAGTTATGCCAGTAATATATAAGACAGAAATGGTTTTCTTACTTTTAGAATCAATTTCTTTGGTAACGTGAATCATTTCATTTATGTTACTAGTTATTGCACCGAGATCAAGAATCACTCAGCATTTAAGGTTTCTTTTTCTAGAACTCTAGTATAAGACGACTCATAATTCTTAAGGGTGATTTCTAGGATTTATAGCTCGTCTAATACGCGAAAATATACAGTATATGCATCTAGAAGTTCTTAAAAAAGCACACCATAGAGAAAAGCCTAAAAGTTCGAAGCTGACGATAAAATTAGAAGATGATGGCCAATTAATATTGTCCTGCTGTCGCCTTGGGAAAGGGGTAAACTTATTCGTTTTTATGAGAAAATTGAGTCAACGTGAGATAATAGGAATGTTGAGCAAGGCCTAAGGATTTGAGAATGAGGTAATTATAATCAGTTTCTTTGGTGAACGAGAAAGATTTAATTACTTGGAGAATAACTATGAGAAAAAAAAAGAAAGGAAAAGGTATGTGTTAATTATACAGCGCTGGTATAGGGTTGAAGAATTTGTCCCGAAGAAGTGTCTTTTCCTACCGCTATTCGAATGTCTTCGATCACAATAAAAGATTGGAAGAGTACTCAGCTTTGTGCGAAAAATGTTCTCAGGCAAATATGCATGGACCCATGCTGAGAACATTGAAAAACATAATAGACTTAATATCTATCTATACTTACCGTTCTTTCTTTCTTTCTTTCTTTCTTAGTCATCCTATCGATCTCTCTATGTCAGTCTCTTTATGGATGTATATCCATCTATCTATCTAGCTAGCTAGCTATCTTTTTAGGCTTAGTTTCTTTCTCTATCCCATCTTCTAGCTATGTCTTAAACGTTATACCTATACTTACCGCTCTTTCTTTCTTTCTTTCTTTCTTTTTTTTTCTTTCTAACTATCCATCTATCTATCTATGCTTACCGTTGTATCTATCTTTCCTTTTTTCTTTATTTCTTTCTTTATTTTTGTCTATCTATCTATCTTTCTTTCGATTTTTCCAGTCTGGACATACATATCTATCTATCTATCTATCTATCTATCTATCTATCTATCTATCTATCTATCTATCTACCAATGCTTACTGTTTTATATATATATATATATATATATATATATATATATATATATATATATATATATATATATATATATCAGTCTCTTCATGTCTGCTTATTTATTTATCTATCTATCCAAGAATTTCTTTTCTCTCTCTATCCCGTCATATATCTATATGTGTAAAACTTTCTTTAACTGTGTATATAGCCGTTCCTTCCTCCTTCTTTCCTTGCTTCAGTTTTTTTCTTTTTTTTTACTTTCTGTCTCTCCATCTATATTGCTAGTCTATACATACCTATCTCTCTCTCTCTCTCTCTCTCTCTATATATATATATATATATATATATATATATATATATATATATATATCACCACTGCTCAATTGGGGAAGATTTATAGTGGGGCTGACACAAAATGATTTTAACCTGTTCTCTAGCTGAATAACTCAAAGCATGTTTCAGTGATTCTTGCGAAAAATGGTGTCAAGATGGTTTTTAATGTCTTATATGAAAACGTGTAAAAAAAAGAATCTCAATTAGTTCAGTGTATTTTTTAGATATTATACATTTTGTGGCATGGACAGTTATGGTCTTACACAATTTTGTTATTACACAGTATATATATATATATATATATATATATATATATATATATATATATATATATATATATATATATATATATATTTATGTTTAACGTTGTTATTTATAGATACAAGTATTCCGAGCAAATGTCTAGAATGAATAAACAGTGAAAAATAACATTTACCGGCCTAAATGATATTTAAGAAATTTTCATAGAACGCTTAAAATATTTTCTATAAAAATAACAACGTTAAACATAAAATGTTTTAATAAATAAATTGTCGGATTTTTTCCATTTCTTATATATATATATATATATATATATATATATATATATATATATATATATATATATATATGAAGATGTTACACATAAATCATTTCAAAATCGCTACACCATTGCAATCGTGTTTCGATGCGTATCAATGTGTCTCATCAGGTGATTATAAATTATTGCCGAGTGAATGATTTATTTAGATTTAAAAGCAAAATCCAACCTCTTATTTCGAAAAAATAAAAAAGGTGTGTCATAAGATTTGTAGGCTTTACTCTGATCAACCTATCAAATATGACCTAAAAAGAAGCTGTACTTTGAACTTAAATCTAAATATATCGTTAACTCGTCAGTAATTTACAATCACCTAAAGAGATGCATTGATACGCATCGAAAGACAACTGTCGCGATTTTGACATGTTTTCGATGTACTATCCTAAAATAAAGAATATTGCTCTACTTTGTATTGAGCTCTCTTTTAAATTAAATGTTACGAACGGTGGAATTGTACTCTATTCATTCTCATCGTACCTGGATATATATATATATATATATATATATATATATATATATATATATATATATATATATTGACGTGCCTTTACCGATTTGGCCACAGAGGCGCGTTCGGTTAGCAAGGTCGAATTTACTGTATTTGACCTTCAATCTTCTAACGAATCTCTCACGTACATTCATATCTGCTCATGGCGTATCGAATGTAAACAAATGACGTCACACATTATGAAATGGACAAAGTTCGACAATTATTTTAAGACATTTTTATGTTTATACATTTTTTATAGATACAAATATTTAAGTAAATGCTCTGTTTTATAATAAACAGTATTAAATACTATTTACCGGCCTGAATGTCCGAGAAATTCTGACAGAAAATATCGGAGGACGAATTTCATAATGTGTGACGTCATTTGTTTACATTTGATAAGCCATGAGTAGATATGAATGTACGTGAGAGATTTATAGAAGATTGATGTTGATATATATATATATATATATATATATATATATATATATATATATATATATATACATACACATATATATATTATAAATTAACTGATTTAAAAATATGGTTCCTTCGCTACACAGGAATTACCATATTTCAAAAACCGAAGCTAAAATCTTCAAATTTAATTCTATAATTAAATTAAAAGTATTAGTTCTGTTTCATCTTCCAGCGAATTTTGGAATAAGTTATTTTTTAAATTTACAAAGCACATACATTCATTTTTTTTTTTTTTTTTCAAGTATACAAAGAAATCCAGTCATTTAGACAGGGTCGGTAGCGTGTTCATTTTTATTAACTATTATTGTATCAATTATGAGTTACGTTCGAAAAAGAGGTTAAGTCTAGGTCAGTTAGAGGTGCTTTTGTCAACGAATTCTGACATACGTTCAATGCCTGCCGTCTAGTTTTTTTTTTTTTATCAACGACAAAAGGGTATTCGGCATTTTTCCGTTAAATTCTTACTTGTAAGGTGTATTTAGACACCAAGAACACATCCAAATAAGTTATATTGAATAACACCTACAATGTCTGTTTATCCATCTTTTCATATAGGTTTTTACAATTTCCGCCTGTCGCATTTAAAGTCAGCATTATAAGATTTTGAATGTCCAAATTTCATTTTTATTCACTGGAGTGCTTTTGACTTTCACTTCAGTCGTTATTGATTATTGCCCAGTTATCAGCCGCTTTATCAAAATGTGTGTGACGAATTTCAACGTTTTTTATTCGACGAAATTCAAATTTAAATCATTTGAAGATGACGTCATCCGCAGCGTGCTCATTTACGCGCTCTTTTAGTCAGGAATCCTAACCTCGGAGTATCTCCCGAGGAGGGTATACTATAAGCGGGTGTATAATACCAGGTTATTGTACTGCCATTTTGTGAACAGGATCTGGACGGTGCACTAATTTTCAGGGAGGATTTCGATACCATGATGTTGTGTACAGTTAGGGCTGTACCCCTGGAAAATTATGTTTATTGAATTGGTGTACGTACTACTTAAGGGTGTGGTTACTTCTGTACCTAGTCTCCACCCATTCCACAAGTTGAATATATCTAATCATGTCCACAAATATCAAGTACAAGATACAATAACTAAAACAATTTCAGCATCCCCTACACAGATGCGTGGGTTTGCGATCCAACATTCCAGAAGCTAAACACGAGGTCAAACCAGACCACATGTTCCTGTCGGAAACCTGACATAACCTATCAGAAAGAAAACCACAGTAATTCCGGGGGATCGAAACCGGAAACTTTCGTCTGAGTTAATCAATCGGATAAGGTCGGATTATCCTGATATCTTGCTAATATTGGTCAATTGGGCTGGACATTTTTTTGCTTTGCCCATCCGGACTCATGACGGCTCCTAAGTTAAAGTGAACCATGTATTGAATTCTATCTTTTCCGTGGGTTTAGTAGTTAAATATCGGTTGTATGTATTTGTATGTATTTATGTATGTGGGTACGTCTGTGGCGAATGTGTGGTGGAGTAATGGATACCGGCTCTGATTGAGAAATCGGAGAAACGAGTTCGAATTCCAGTCGGATCCCTTACATTCACTTACGTGCAAATACCTTTGCGAAACTTTGTTGCAGTTTTTTTGTGTATATGTGTGTACTAGTGAGCTAGTCAAAATGAGTTGACTCACTTTATAGTCCACCAATAGATGGTTAACCAATCAGAAGACGTATAATATTCAATCCGTCGTGCATAAAGGCGGCCATTTTGTTTACTCTCTCCGAATGTCCAGTGCCGACTTGTCAGGCGAAAGAACAGAAAGAAGAATTACTGAACTACGCTCTGCTACTTTACCGGGATAGCCACTGCTAACCTGAACTACGCTTCCCTACTGTCTTCGAAATATTCACTGCTAACCTCTGGATTCTATACTCAAAGACGACCGTCATCATGAATAACAAAGTTATCCATCTCTTCCCACATGCTATGGATAAATGGCAGTAGAAACTGGTCGTATAATTGGTTGGAAACCACTCTAGGAGAAGGAAAATCTGTATTCAAACTACTTACTACCTAGTAGGTGCTGTCTTTTTAATTAGAGAGTAGGAAAAGGGTAACCACAGTATCCTCATTGCACTATTCTGCCAGAATTCTGAGAGGGAGCGGAGAGCTAACTGAATAAATGATGATGAAGTGTACCGGTGTGCGTAGGGGCGTGTGTACATTCATGACCAAGTTTCAGGTTTCGGGGAAAATATTCGCCAGACAAACAAGTGCAATGATCGAACCACACACCGTGTGAAAGGTAAAGAAATTAAATAACCGCTAAGCCGACGGACGAAGGCGCTTAGCTCGTGATTGTCTGATCAACTCTAATTTCTTTATAAAAAAAGTGATTCAAGTTTAATTGATTGATTAAAAGTTTATCAAAATAGACATTTCAAGTCAATTATAGACGAGCTGACCCAGCCAATACACGATGAAAGTGCGCGCGGCTTTAGCACCAGAATGTTTTGAAACAAAAAAAGTTAAAACAAACATACATTTTAAAAGCGTGCACTGAATTTATACACAAATATAAGATATAGGTACCTCGTGTATATATATATATATATATATATATATACACACACACACATATATATATATATATATATATATATATATATATATATATATATATATATATATATATATATATACACACATGTGCATCCACTTACGAATGAATGTTATACATTCATACATACACTATCACTAAATTTAATTTTTTATTCTGGGAGTTATTTTTTCTGATTTCTTTTTGAATTTGTAGGTCTGATTTCCAATGTAATAAATTATAACCAGGGAACATTAGTGTTTAAGCCTTTTTTATTATATTCTTACTCGGTCCTGGACATTGAGTTCTACCTGGATTTTATCCTCGTGGAAGCTTTTATATGTATATGTATGTGTATATATACATATAAAATATTATTAATAATAATAATAAACAAAATGATTGACGTAACTCTTCCAATATTTTTCTTCAGTTAAGAGAAGATTTAAGAAAAGAAAAAAGCCAAGAAAAAAGCAGTGTTTAACAATGTTAAAAAAAATATATATATATATATATATATATATATATATATATATATATTGAAGCTATACTTTTGGCGATAGTGCGTCTAAAGCTG